TTACTTCTCAATAGCCCAATTGAAAAAAAATAGCAACAGAAAATTTCCCTTGACTTAACTAAATGTTTGCAAGTTGTTACAGTATATATAGTATGAGGGGGGGAGGGTTAGTCATTATTATTTAGAGAAGTAACAGCTCAATTCAAGTCTTGATCTGAAGCCACTCAGATGATCACTAGTTATTTCTGCCAGTGCTCCCAAATTCTGGGATGGGGTCAGGGAGGGGTGAAGGTTGCATGGTAGGGGGTTTATATGTACATATATCTCAATACCTTATAAGTATAAATACTTGCCAGCTATGCTTTTAGGAAAAGCCTAGAGGTGATGCCAAATGAAACAAATAATAATATAGGGTGGCAACCCTTACACTAGTGAGAACCACCATTCTTGAAACTTAGAAGACCTTAAATCCAGCTAAAATCACAAAGACACCAAGTCAAGGGATGCAGCAAGCACCTGGCCACATACGTTTCCCTCTCTGTACCTTTCAGTGTCTATTAGAGCTAGTCTGAAAGTACAGTTGTGAAACATGAAAACTGCTAAGCACTTAATCAGATTTCTGGTTCAGCAAACACAAAAAGTTACAGTGGTTTTGGAAAAAAAAGGTTCTGAGACGCTGGTAGGACTTGCAAACCCTTAACTGAAATTTCGGTGGCACAGGCTCAAGGCACCGAATTACTCATGTGCACGAAGTGCTGTTCCAAAGCACCCCTGCTGTGCACCCATCAGTTATGACACATTTAGTCCTATCAGCAATCTCGAAATGGATCCTAAGTCAACTAAAACTTAACATTTCCCTTCAAAACATTCTGGAGAGTTGTGTTTGTGAGTTACTCTTTACTCTTTGACCCAATATGTTCTGTTTTTCAAAAAAAGTGTCATTTCACTGCCACCACAGCCATCTGGGTGTTTGTTACAACATATCTTCAAGTGACTCCTACAGTTTTCAGTCCTTGAGTGCTTCAAAGGCCCGACTGAGTCCTCAATGAAACTCCAGGGAACATCTAGTAGAAAACATCTCCACAGTTTGGACACGAGAGACTGGGCATTTGACAGACTCTAGTATTTTATATGCCCATGCATCCAAGGAGGTCTTGATAAGCTGAAATTCACTAATTAATTCTTTCTGTGATCACATCTTGAACATCTCTCGTGTGCTCGGCCCAGTGGGCATACCACACACATTGAATAAGCCACAGCCTTTAAGCGTGTCACAGCTTAACCATGATCTGTCACCTCAGGACAGCTGCCAGTTTCCAAGCTTGAAGTCGGCCCCATGAGTGGTCACCAGTGTCTTAACATAACACAACTGTGATGTCTGCCAGCTCAGCAGAAGCTGAAGGAGGGAGAACGGGGCAGTTGTAGAAATAAGTTCCCTAAACAAAGTGTGTTGTGCAATACCAAGAGCTGCACTTGAGCTGATTTTGAAAGTTTTGGTTTTCATATTACTACCTCTAAGAGGATTTATTTTTACTTCTCAATAGCCCAATTGAAAAAAAATAGCAACAGAAAATTTCCCTTGACTTAACTAAATGTTTGCAAGTTGTTACAGTATATATAGTATGAGGGGGGGAGGGTTAGTCATTATTATTTAGAGAAGTAACAGCTCAATTCAAGTCTTGATCTGAAGCCACTCAGATGATCACTAGTTATTTCTGCCAGTGCTCCCAAATTCTGGGATGGGGTCAGGGAGGGGTGAAGGTTGCATGGTAGGGGGTTTATATGTACATACATCTCAATACCTTATAAGTATAAATACTTGCCAGCTATGCTTTTAGGAAAAGCCTAGAGGTGATGCCAAATGAAACAAATAATAATATAGGGTGGCAACCCTTACACTAGTGAGAACCACCATTCTTGAAACTTAGAAGACCTTAAATCCAGCTAAAATCACAAAGAAAAGAACTTTCCAGCATTTGAACTCATTTCTAGAATGAAAACCTACCAGCGTGATATGTGGATAGCACATTTGTCTTCAGGGTCCGAGAGACCTGAATTTGAATCCCAGCGCTGCCATGTACCCAGTAAATGGCCTCAGACAAATTACTTAACCTATGTTTCAGTTTCCTCACCTGTAAAATGGTCCTAAAAATACCTATCCCTTAGGACTGTTGTAAAGATTCAATAAGGTAACATATATAAATTTCTTTTTTATGTGTTTTTATATAAATATAAATTTTTATTTTATAAATTTCTTTTTAAATATTTTTAAATATATTCACCAAGTAGGTATATGATGAAAAATGGTGGTGCTCCTCCCCACCCGACTCCTTAACCAAAGCACACAGGAGTTGGGTTTGCATTTTGGCAGGGATTGGGAGAGAGGGGTTGCTTTAAGGGAATAACTCTTGAAGCCTAGCAACTGTGTTTAGAAGAGGAGGATTAATACAGGAAATAATCAAAGTTTAATCCATAACTGCATTTTCACACCAAATTCTCACATCACTAAATCATATCTCAGCCTATAGTGATTGCCATGTACCTAATTTGGAGAACTCATCAAAATTTCTACCAGATTTCAATGGATGAGTTGGAAACAATGATCATATCAGAGAAGTTCATTTTCTATAACAGAGAAGTCACGTTTTGCCTTTCTTTCTTGCATATCTGATGTTTAAAACTAAAGCCAGGTTTTGCAAAAGCAAAAAATTCTATCAAGGACAGTAAGAAGTCATTTATTCATCTATTACTTACCATCTACAATGTGCCTGGCACTATTCTACTCAGTGATTCAGGCAGGAAGACAAGGACCTGCCCTCATGCTTATGCTCCAGTGACTCCAAAATTGTCTTTGATGTCTTTAATCCTGGGATTCTGGTGGCACTTTTTCATGAAGCCAATGACACTGAAGCAAGTGGGACTCAGCACTGGAAAGGGAAAATCCATGCATAACAAAAAGAATCTTTTTCCTTTAACTCCAGATTTCTAATTCCAGTGAGCCAAACTGAAAATGAAAAGGACCCATTGAAATGCACTGAACACTCCTGACTCCCAAGTAAACACTCAGCTGTCAGCATGAGAACAAGAAGTTCCCTGCTTTTAGACCACATTCTTTTCCATATGGGACCAATTTCTTGAAATATGCTTAAGAGTATCTCTGGAGGCTCAGTGTTATATGACACTTGTAACTTGAAACTTGAAAGCAGATCATAATTTAATGATTTAGAATACAGAACTGGTCAAGGAGATTTAACATTTTTATCCCAGCACCTCGCAAACCTCAGACCCTAGATTCGGTTCCATCCTCACTCAGATTTGGGAACTTCTCTAGAGCTCAGCATTCTCTTCTACAAAATCAGAAGGACTGTAGTACTTGTACGAGTTGGCCAACTGCCATGGTAAACAACTCAAAATCTCAGTGGCTTGACACAATGAAAGTTTATTTCTTGCGTTAATCATAGTGCAGTGCTGGTTGATGGGGTGGCCCTATTCTGCCTTTCCAATCAGGGTCCTGGACTTTAAAATCACATTGTTCTGGCATTTTCTCCAGGCTGTCCTCTGCATTCAGCTGTCAGATGAGGACAGAGAGAAGTTGTGGCAGACCACATGGGTTTTGTTTTCGAGGCAGGCCTGGAGAGGGCTTCCATTCCTCTGTCCGCATTGCAATAATGGTCAGGACTCAGTCTCGTGGCCACACCTCTCTGTTGGGAGGCTGCATGCCCAGAAGGAAGACAAAGTCTAGTTTGGTGAACATGTAGCAGACTTCACCCCAATACTGAATCCAGAGAGTATTTGGAGGATTAAATGAGATACTGTACATAAGAACTCATAAATGTCTCTGAATCAATAGAGATTAACTCTGGGATAATATTAACCCTGCATTCCTAACTAGGAAGAGGCCTCCTTCCTCCCCTCAGCTTATGATGGATGGAGCAGAGAAGGCCATGGTAGTAGCTCTTATCTTTATGTTATTACAGAGATGACTATAAAAAGAGAAGCTTTAAAAGATCATGCCTGTCACCCCCTTTACCAGGCATCTTGATCCAGAGTCATTTTAGATATATTTCATGTAACTGAGAGGCATGGGCAAGGAGAAGAGGCCATCTCTTCATAGAACACTCCCAAATAATACTGGTTCTTTTTGGCTACCCAGCATAATTTCCCAGCATAAGCTGATTTTATTATTAAATGATACCTAAAGTGTGTAACCTCAATCTCTGAAATAAGCTAGGATTCACTAGATTGACTCATACAGATCTGTTTTCCAAGATGACACAGTATTCTTCCAAACAGTGTAAATCAGATCATCTCAACATCTGCTTAAAACCCTTCACTGACTTTCCACTGAGTTCAGAATAAAATCCAAATGCCTTATACAGGGTGGGTATCCCCCATCCCCATCCCCGAATCAGCCCTGCCTCCCTCTCCAACCTCATCTCACACAGCTCTACTCATTCCCCCTCCATCCATCCATCCATCCATTCATTATTCCCTCATTCACTCAGTCATTCATTCAGTTTTTCTGGACTCCATCGTCGTCACTGGGAATACTGCAGTAAAACAGTACCCCTGCCCTCATGATGGGATATGGCACCCCAGTGTAACTCCAGCCATAGGGGCCTGCCTCTGTCACTTGGTGCTTCCTGCTTTCTTCCCCAAGACCAGCTCATAGAGTCTCATGCAGAGCAGTCGCTCCTGCTGTTACTTTATTGCAGCATCCTGTGTGTATTCTTTATGGCATTCAGCAACCTGGAAAATCCTTTGGCTCATTTGTGTGCATTTATTGTCTTTCTTCTACTTACTTCTAAGTTCAGTTCCCATGAGGGCAAGGATGTTGTTTATCTTATTTACTATAATATCTTCAACACTTATTTGCCTGGCACAAGAGCAGAAGCTCAAATAAATATCTGTTAAATGAATGGCTTAAGGAATACATGAACTGACAGTCAGCAACTAATGTATTTGGTGATGGCCCTCGGGCCTGCGGAGAATTTATGAGCTCCATTTTCTTTCCTGATAGCCTGTGCTCATCTCTACCCCCTCTGATTGTGTTTTTGTAGGGAATGACACCACTACACTGGGCAGCTTTCCACAACCGGCCTCAACACACCCAAATGCTGCTGAAGAAGGGGGCAGACCCCACGCTTGTGGATAAAGATTTTAAAACAGCTCTCCACTGGGCAGTCCAGGTGAGAAACTGGCCAGTAGACTTGTCTCAAGTTTAAATGGTGTAAAGGAGTGTTAACAATTCTCTGTCAGACCTGAAAGATGGAATTATCAAAGGTGCATCCCCCTCACTGATACAGCACTTATGTGTATGAAAGCGCAAATCAGATGCCCTCTTCCTGTCCATTCATATCCAGAGGGACAACAGGAAACCTGTCACTTTGGAGGATTTGGATATGTCAGTTGTTGAGAAGAATCTCTGCCAAGGTACAGAGGGAGAGGAGTTATGAGATGTTAGGTAGAGCCCAACTTGACAGGTACACGCACGCACACACACACACACACACCCCTCCTCTGTCTCTCACACACACACACACACACACACACACACCCCTCCTCTCTCTCACTACTACTGGCTCACTGCATCACAATAAACCCTCAAAGATTTCCTAGGAAAATCCCTTCAAAGTCTTTGGACCATATGATTCTCTTCTTCCTTCCAAATCCTCCAAAGCAGAGTTATTCCAGGTGTTCAGCTTCTGTGCTGAACAATGAAAATCACAGCTCATGACCCTACCTCACTGTCATGAAAGGGAGACTTTATCAGTACACATGACCAAAGAAATCAGAACAGGCCCAAGAAATCTACGGTCCAAAGAGGAGAAAACTGAGAATAAGGTGAACGAATGGTCATAGCTAATATTTATTGAAGTGCTTTCTATTTTCAAGGGGAATGATTAAAAGAGTTATTTCTTCTGGCCTTCATGGGAGATTGGTGCTGTTCATCTTTGTCAGGCCATCTGTCTTTGGTGCCCAAGCATAGGCATCCCCACTGTTTATTTCCATCAGCCCAGGGAGGGCAACCTTGCTGGACTGCTGCCAGGATCCCTGTGAGAGCAGTCTCCACTTGCCCTGACAGTGGTTTCATTCAGGTGTTTTCATGTGCCAAGCACACCAGAGACAGGCACCTGGTGCTCTCAGGGTTGACATATGTGCCTGAGGTAAGGGGAAAACAGAAGTGATTTGGAAACTGCTCTGTTTTTGTCTCTCTAACCGTGGCTTCAGTTACTGTGTACCGGGACCAGCCCTGTGCAAAACTGTGAAGTGAGCAAGGCTTGTTTTGCCACCCCCACCTGCCCTTGGTACCCTCCTACATACACTCAATATCCAGTCACCCACCCCACCCTCTTGTGCCAGTTCCACCCGGGGCCCTGTCCTCTGGCTGGATGGGAGCCACCACCGCAGCAGTAGCCCTACTGCATCCAAGAGCTGTCCTGTGTGAGCTGCTTCTCAGCTGAGGTGAGAGTGGCATCAAGTGTCTTCTGTATATTCACCCTCATCAACTTTGCATTCTGATTCCATAGATCTGGGAGGGGGTTCAAATATGTGCATTTTCAAAAAAATCTCTACAAGTAATTCTGACTGACGAGCCTCCTCTGCTCCCACTTCCTCCACTTCACCCCCAGTTTAGCGTAGCTGCTTTCTACCTGGCCTTGCAATGGAATCATCAGCAGTGCTTGTGAAATAATAGACCCTCTAAGCTGGGCTCTTCAGGGGTAAGAAAACTTGTTCTTATCCTCACAGAGACAATCTGGCAAAATGAAAAGAACAATGTACTCAAATTCAGAAAATCTGAGTTTGCATTGGCAGACCTAGAATCACCAGTACCTGCTTGGCTTACCTGTCAGTGTCTTTGCAGTACACATGAGACCATGCGGGTGACAGTGATCTGTCATGTGCTGTGTGATTGTGGGACATTACCATTCTTGTTATGGTTCCTGATTTCCTCCATGACAGCTTAGTCGTCATACCCACATCTTCATATTACCTCTTCCAACTAACTGATACAGCTTTTAACCTCCTACATTGATTTCAGTCCTGTCTGCATATTAGAATCATCTGAAGAGCTTTTAAACAATACTAATATTCAGACTCCACACCCTTAGATTTTCAGTCAGTTGTTCTGTGATGGGGCCCAGGCATCGATATTTTTTAAAGCTTCTTCTCCCCCAAGGAGCTTGTAATGTGCAGTGAGGGTTGGAAACCAGAATGATAAATTAATTCATATTAATGGGCACTAACACCTTATCCACCCCTGCCTAAGACATTGGCATTGTAACCGTGATTTTGTAGTAGCCTAATGCCTCACTCATTTATGTACTCAATTGCTTACTGAATGTTGCTTGAGCACCTGCTATATATCTGGCATTGGGGCTGAAAAGATTACCAAGACAGGTCACTTCTAGAATTCCTACAGTTTCATGTAGTTCTGTATGTGAGTATGTTAGATGCATTTTCTTGAGGAAGGAGTCCACAGCTTTCTTTAATTCCTCAATGAGGATTGGTGACCATCCCCAAAGGTTTAAGAACCACAGCTCTGGGGGAACTGGGCACTCTCCCTCCCTGTGGTTGCCAGTAAAGTCAGAAGTGGTGTGTTCTTCCCTTTACTCTGTAAAGGCCAAGGGTAATTGCAAATGTTGGCTGAAATCGTGATTACACTATCCTCCTTTAGCCTTCTTGTTCATTTACAACACAGGACCAGCATCGTGCTCCTTTTAAAGCTTTTCCACATGAATGAGTCTATTTCCCATTGTCATTTATTGTTTTCACTGATCTTCCTGCTTTTCTCTTGGACAGTATGAGACCACACTTAATGCTCTAGCACTCCGAGATAATAATGCCTCTGTCAGACCCAGATGACCAAAGTAGTCAAGATTTAAAACACTGGGCCTACGAAGTAAACTAAGTTCGACCTCTGCCCCCAGTTCTCAGGTGCTTTGGTAGCTGGCGGTGCCCCGCCGTGGGCGCATTGCCCTCATTCGCTTCCCCCATCTTCCCAGGAGACTCCACTGCTTGGCTCTCTGCTGAGCAGAGCCCTTTCCCCATCCAACCTCCCTCGATGGCTTCTCAGTCCTGTAGGGGCATGTTCTTGCCTATCTGTGATGACACTAACTTATCAAGAGTCTACACAGGTATATCTCAGCCTCACTTCCCTCTCCCTCATCCACACTGGAGAAGACCTGTCATCCATCTTTTTCTCTCTCCCTCTTCCTCAGAAAGCCCATCATTACACTTTCATTCTGTTCAAAAAATATGCAGATCCATAACTCAGCTCTGACCTCTCTCTTGAACTCTAGACTCAGATTTCCAGCTCTACCAAGCATCTCCCCACACATTTCCACAGATACTTAAAACTCAACATGATCAAACTGAATTCATAGTCACTCCTTCCTGTCCAATTCCCATCCTCCCAGCAACTCAAGCCCAAGGCCTCCACATGGTCTGTGAACACTCCTTCCTTATAACCCTTCACTTCCATGCTAGTTCTACCTTCTCAGGTTGCGCATCTCTGTCCCCTCCTTTCTACCCCCTCCACACAGGTCAGGGCCCCAACAGGAAACATACAGCCCACTCAGATGGGATTAGCAGAGCAGTGATTCATAAAGAGGCTATTTACACACAACAGCAGGCTGCTGGGCATCTGGGCCTAAAAGGTCATGGAAAGGAATGGTTACTAAGACAACAAGAGCTATAGCTATATTAGGACCCAGGACAGGAACTGTAGCCTTTGGTGAAATAACCAAACCATGGCCTAGCAGGGAGAAAATGGAAGGATACACACACCCCAATCCCTTTCCTCCTGCATCTGTTTCCTTTCAGTGCCACTCACTGGCCAAACACAACCAGAAGCCAAAGGGCAAAGGAGCCCATTTAATGCAACTCGTACATGCTAAAGAGTGGAGAGCAGGATGGGAAAAGATGGAGAATAAACCTGGAAGAGCAAATGGAGACTATTTAGCACACCCACAATCACTTCCTCAAATCAAACTTCCACCATCTCTCACGTAAACAGTTTCAGTGGCTGGATTCCTACTTTCAGCCCTTTTCTTCTTCAATCTATTCTCAAATTGCATCAAGTGCTTCTTCTACAAACCACAAAGGAATATACTAACACAACTTCTATTATACCAAAGCAATTATGGTCACTGTTGTTCCTTGGCTCAAAATCCTTGGATGAGTTCCATTTTGTGGTAAACAAACAAATTGGTTGGTTTAGCATGTACTGCTGTAAACAACCACACCTCATCCCACCCCCACCCAGACCTTTTCGCCTGAGCCCAGAGGGGCTTTCCTCTAATCACACTGGAATAGTAACAATCCCCCCAACACATCAAAGAGACTCATTCCATCTTCACCTTGGTCACATTCTTCTTTTCTGGTGAAACACTTCTCTCCTCTTGCGCTACCACGTCATGCCTTCTCCCTGCAGAATTTTTCTTATTCCTTCTTATTTTTCAAGGCCCAACTCAATGCCACCTTCACTGACTCCCTTTCGGAATTGTTTCCTCCATGTTGTCTATCTAGTACTTTCTTACTTCTAGGACTGGAGGGAACAATCTTCTAGGATAGTCTTCTAGGATAAGTGGGTTGCCCGTTTCTCCCTTTCTAGACTGAATAATGTACCTTATTCTTGTAGATGTCAATCAAGACCAGAACAGATCTTTGTGACTCATAGGTCTTCAAAGAGGTTTTCATTGAATTCTGTCCAATGAACTTACCCATTTCGGCCAATGGGATAAATGGTTTATTGGGTTCTTTCTGTGGAAAACCATTTTTCAGCTTAACTGAGACTTCCAGAAGTGCAAAGTCTTAATACCAGGGAGTTTTTTTCTAACCGCAGAAATTCTAGGATACCTAATTTAATGGCAGGTTACTGGTGAGGCAAGCATCTACTGCCCCTTAATTCTCACAACTAGTGCTTTCATCTGCTTTCTAGAAAATGTGTTTATTTGGAAACTTCTTCAGAAGTACTTTTCAGTGGAGTTTTCAAGGGAGAGTAGAAAGAAAAGAACTGCACTAATGCAAAAAATTATTTCACGTTCGCTCATTCACTAAGTGGTTATGAGGTCAGGGAAATTAAAAACACACGCACCCTTGGAGCTCTGTAATATAATCCACAGGCCTCTAGTGACTGAGACTGAGCATGTGATGGGTTCCAACACGGGATCCTCCTCCTTCCTGT